TCCTAATGTAGACTACAAAAGTGTCATATTTGATATGGAAGAAAATAAATACTGTTAAGAATCCACGGAGCAAGGTACTTAACAGTGTTTGGATACCATTCTCCCAGCAGAATAGTGTAAAAGTTGTTTTAGTGCTATGAATGAATGAAAGTCACAACATTTGCTGGAAAAGAACACCATGGCTCAGCAAAATAACACTTTCCCTGAAAAAAATTATAATAAACATGACAGCACAGGTTGTAGTTGTTGTGAGAAGTAAAGGCTGGGAAAGATGTGTTAGCATTCAGGGAACACAGAGTCCAGTCTGGGGTTCAGGGGTGTCTAGCAACTGAAATCTGAAAACAGGCTAGAAGTATAACAGAAGGAAATACGATGATTTTGAAATAATTCGAGGCTGGTAACTAAAATAAAACTTATCTGTAACAGTGGGTGTTGCCATGATACTGGTCACAACAGTACCTAAATAATGCCAATTGCTGAATAACATGGACACAAGACAACTGGAGGGAAGCAATTTGACGACAGGGCAAGTTTCACCTGTTAATCTGGGAATATCTTAACATACTTCATATGGGATATGTTTAGATATTGCCAGCAGTGTGCAACGCTGAGGACTTTAAACAATAAAACATTTATTTGTTTTGTTTTGAAACTATTATTTTTGTTTCTTCGTGTATAGTTCTACAAAATAGAAAGTAGTAAACATAAAGAAGGAAAATCTTTGAATTTATGTGTGCCCAAATGTTTGATTGTAAGGACCTATGTTATATTAATGCAGCAATAATATTCATAAATAAGCCAAAGCTCTCTGTTCAGCAATAGACCAAAAATGTGATTATTTAATAACATCTGGCATCTGATAAGATATTTAGCAAATATTTGATTTTTCGAGTCAACTCTCAACATTGTTGTGGCCAGACGTCTGGTCAAGAGCAACTGCAAGGCTTGCGGGATGCTCCTGTGACCCAAATCTACAATAATCAAAAGAAACTGTTATTGTTCATCTATGTCTGAGAACTGCAGAACATTGCTTCTACTTTCTTCATAACCACAAAAGAGAGATGAAGGAAAGTGAAGAAGCCTGAAGCTAGCCTAAAATAATTGACTTCAGTGCAACTGGGTGACACAAAGACATTAAAAGAATTGTAAATTATTAAAGTTATTACTTGGAAACATGACTTCAGGAGACAGACATGGACAAAATAGGAATTCTAACACTGCTAGTGCATTTGATCTTGGTAATTCATGTTTCTAGAAAATGTTCTTTTGTTTTCAGTTTGAGTTCAATATTTATAAATGTGGTTTTTGCAATATTTCCACATCTAACCACATTAAATGTAGTTGTTTGATAAGAATGGCAAGAATGAAGTCTTGTTTGGCAAGTTTAGGTTCCACAGGTTTTAAACTTTAATCATGCATAGGGCTAAAAACTAAATAGCTAATAGAAATATGTTGGCACAGTGCTAAATTACTAAAGCACACCTTTTTAGGATAGAAAAGGATTAGTGTCATGGTCAAATACATTGCTGTAAAGGTAAGATTAATGCTAGGAAAGTTAAGGTGGGTTAGAAAATGACTGAATTATAATTGCAGTCATATGACACACATAAAACTCAGAGGCGCTAAGGACCAATCCATCATGATGACCTCCACTAGCTTACTTTACATCTCAACATAAAGTGAGTATAAAAAAGAACAGTTGGCATAAATTGCGAGGTGCAATGTGATTTATAGGCTACTGAGCTCTAAGGGGCATAGTAGCTGAAAAGACAAACAAAACAAGCTTTGATGTATCTGTTAAATGTTAGAAAAGCACTCTGTATTTTGTAAGAGCATTAAGCACTGAGAAATAGAGAACATACACACAATCCACTTAACATTTTCCCATGGTTATAATCACTAAAAGCCTTTGTAAATTAAGCTCCCATCTCTTTATTGAAGAGACTAATGGTTGGGCTAATATAGCTTTGTTTTGTGTGTATGCTGTGTGTCTACGAGTATGATTTGTTTGCCTGAATTTGCATACATACCACCATGCACTGATTCTCCCTATCTCACGTTGAAACATCTCAATTATGGCTCCTTAGTTGTGTGTTGTCCCCTGAGTGTGAGTGCTGGTGTTACACCAGATCTATTATGGCCCCGGTTTGTCAAGGAACACAGAGGCAGGGCTCAGTGCCAAGACTGAGACCTATCAAATGCATCCATGTGTGTGGGTGTTTTTGCTTCACTCAAAGGAAAATTTATTCAGACTAAAACACGGGAATAGTAGGAAGACAATTTGTTGTTTTCTGTCACATTTTCCCCTAAATCACGATGAAATTAACTGCCGGGGCTCAATTAATAATTTATGCAAACAAGGGAGGTAACAAATCGACTTTTGTGTCTATTTAAGTATTTTTGCACGCATGTATGTGTATGCTGAAATGTTGAATGAAAGTAGAGTTACTTCACAGTCTTCATCACTCTGCTTTCTCTTACATGTCTGATGCTTTCTCACTCCGACCAGCTAAAAGTTTGGTAAGGATAACGGCAGGAACACAATTAAACATTTTCTCAATTGAGTCATTACAACCCAAATGAAGAGACTGGTGGCAAAGTTAACCCACAGCCATATTCCCATTAGCAAACAGTCTCTCTCACACACACACACACACACACACACACACACACACACACACACACACACACACACACACACAGTAGGAGCATTTAGAGAATTGGCTGTGAGGCTGCTCCCAGCTTGCCCACTGTGAGCTGAATTGAGCTGTACAAACAGCGTTTAGATGGTTATACCCGCGTGAGCATGTGCGTGTGATTGGGGATATGTGTGTTCATTATGTCTTTGGAAGTGAGACAAATATGATGTGCAGTGTTGAGTGTTTAAGCACCAAGAATGAAGAAGGAATGGGTGAACATAATTATTTAAGATGGAAAAACGAGGAAGGAGGAAAAAGAAGGCAGGGGAAGATACTTTACTTCAGCCACTTGCCCCACTAGTTGGTTAAAAAAAAAAAATTATAATTATACGTGACACTGCCCTCAATAAAATAATGGTTAATTCATTGTGAAATGCCCAATAAAAAAGAGGTGGGTTCCTGGGTTTGAATCTGACGGCCAGCTGGAACCTTTTTTTCCCTCAGGTAGTCCAGCTTCCTCTCACAGTCCAAAGACTCTAAACTGGAGCTAGGTCTAGTTGCCTGTCCCTCTGTGTTAGCCCTCTAATAGATTGCCGACCTGTCCAGGGTGTATCCCACCATTCGCCCAGTGACAGCTATGATGGGCTGTAGCCCCCCCGAGACCCTGACTTGGATAGAAAACTGATGGATGTTCTGTGACAATGGCATCCTTCAAGAGCCAAGTACAGACAACAGGTATGGCATTTCATTAAGTTAAGATTGATAATGCAACTTCATTCATTCATTTGACATTCAGCAAAATTAGGAATGGAATTGTAGAAAGTAATATAGTAACTCTTAAATGAACCCCCTACTAGTCATCATAAATAAAGCAAAATCATAAATCAAACAAGTAGATCTACTGAACAAATACAAACCTGTACATCAGTATGCATTTTTTTGTCTCTGCGGTCTCTACCCTTTTCCTGTCTTCTTTTTCCCCTTAACATCCCTGCATGTTCTTATTTGGCAAATTTTAAAAATCACTTTTGAAAATATATATTTAACATTAATTAGCTACTCCTCACAACTTACTGTGCTTTCTGTCATCCTGCAGTCCCCCTGTCACCTTTGTATTCACCTACTCCTCCTCATGGGTGATGTAGTATGATGCATACTGTTCTAATTTGACCCCTGGAGCTCCTGTTCCCAAGTCTCTCTCTCCATCTGACTGTGCCACCCCATGTGACTTTCCTCCTCTCCTGTGTCACTCAGTCCCTTTTCATCCTTTCACACTTCTCAAATATGACTATCTTGTGTTTCCTGTTTCCTTTTCTCTTGACATTCGCACCTTCCTCCTCAGGGCTTAACGAGCACTGCTCTCTCTCTTTCGCACTTTCTTTTCTCTCATTTCCCCTTGTTGCTCCTTTTGTCCTTCCATTCCTCCTCTCAATTACCTTGTCTGGGCAGCATCTGGCAGCCTGACCCAGTGTGTGGGTATGTGTGTGTTTGGAGCTGTTGTGGACCATGTGCCTTGTCTGTGTTCCACTGGATTCTTGTCATTCCGAACTGAACAGCTGCTAACGGAAAACAAGTAGTTGGCTTCCCCGTAGATTTGGAGACAGATTACTGTAGGAACGCAGTCACATTATTCAGTCAGGACCTTTCCTGTGTCACCCGGGGCCTCAGATGAAACAATTGGCCGCATGTTGGTGAATTATCACAATCGTATCCAATCAGCAACTCTAAAAACTCCAGACGTGTGGATCATGAAACAGACAGCCAAAAATGAAGAAGTCCTACTGATTTTGCATCAGATTTATTAAAGCCCCGTGAGTTATGATTATATTATTATTGTGGATATAATTATGTATCCTTTTCCATTAACTAAATCTCCAGCTGTTCATTCACACATCCAATCTATTTAATCTAAAGCAAGTTTGGCTTGAGCTTACACTTACTCAGAAAGACTTTTATGTTCCCAATGGAGTGACGTGGATTTGTATCTGTATGTCCTTTTACATAATTTCTCTACTTTTGTCCTACAGATACCTTTGAATCCCGACTGACACAGTATAACTGTGCCACACAGCTAAACTCGATGGATTGTAGCTTTCTGACCAAAACTGCTTCATTCAGTTTCCATTTAAAAACTTGCAACGTGAGTCACTTCCACATATACGTCGTATTTTTAAACTGTAAACTACCACAATATGATTTTCATGTCTGCGTGTGACAGGTGAGAGGGGTGCAGTTAAACTGCATTAACAGAATTTAAAGGGGAGAGATGTGGTGTCCTGTGCCACCTAACATCATAATCCTCTGACATTGCCTCATCCTGCAGCAATGAAAGTGCACCCTGTTTACCATTAACATGATTACCTGTTTGTAGTAGTGTAAGATCTGCCGTCCTCTCTCTGCCAGCTATGGGGCTGATGGATGAAATGGAGAAAGACGATTAGGAAACCTGATATTAAACTTCTTACAGGGTCTCTTAAAACCTCTTAGGCTCTTTCACTCTCTTTTTCTGAATCACTCTCACTTTACCGTCCTGGCTTTCTCTCTCATTCTCCGGGACTATTGAATAAATCATGAAATTCAATCTGACTCTGCAATCACTCCAGTCTGTTGGTTCTCTTTCTTTTTCGCTCTGTGCTACTGCCTCTCATCCTAATTCCAGCAATTGAATAAAGTATGAGATTTTGAAGTCTTTCATGCAATTGTTTATCCTACAATCCTCTCTTATTTCAATCTTTTTTATCTCTCCTCCTTGTGGTAATTACTACAAGAGTACTACAGGACTACTAGTGGTTCTCTTCTAAAACAAAAGGGGAAATAAACCTCATTACTGTCATGTGTTACTCATTATGATGTGTGAATGTTTGCAACCAGCTATATAAGTTGTAATAGGCCAATGGCCCATTAGCAGTCATGACTGTAGGGGTTTGAGCTGTATCAGTATTCACCTGTCATAATGCATGCCCTGTGGTGAATATGGAAATCTCACTACTAACTTTGTGTAGCCATACTGCTGCTGATGTGGACAAAGCCAGATTGGGGGAAGTGCTGCATGAAGCATAAAGACAAAGAGAAACACACACTTTGCCTGTGGAAATGTACGAATCACAGTTAACTTCATTCACATGTCGATGAATGACTAGGCAGGGGAAATGATGTCAGCTAAATGAAGAAAGTTGAAATAGCGTTCAGTCGCATGTGAGCTTTTTTAACTTTTTGTCTAACTTTTACTGTTTTATCCTATTAAATGCTTGTATATTGACCTATATATGTATCTACACAGGCCAGTATAATTATTTGGCAATGAATCTTGTATTTATGTTTTATAAGCGCAAATGTAACACTGGGCTAACAACCAAGAATATTACACAACAATTAATATTATGTAAAAACAGACTGTAACCTAATTAAATATGTATTTACTCTCCAGCACATAAAATAGGCTGCACCATAAAAACCACCACAGCACTAAAATACAGGCAACAACTGTGCTAAGCTGATAAGGCAGCTACACTTTGTTGTCACTAGTTTCATTATATTAGATAGAATACCTGAATTGTCTGCTGCTACTGAAGTTACTACAGCCTCACTGCATTAGCAGTAGAACACAAAAGAAGCACCATATTTGATCTGATAAAGCATATCTGGCTGAAAAGCAGCAAAGATTCTACAGCTAAGCTGTTGCTGCCTGTGGATTTACACTGGATAAACTTTTTCCTTAAAGTAAACACCTCACTGCTAAGAAAAAGACCCAGATTCCCAAAGCATCTGGCTTTTACTGATAAGTACTGCAATGTACCTCAAGAAGGAGTTATTCTATTTATTTAGTTAAAGCCATTTATTAGTTTTACACCTTGTGGTTTTTTGGGAGCAGTTTAGAGGATGATAGCAAGCCGTGTTGTTTAATTTCAAATCTCCTTAGGGCCTTCTTGTCATTACTGGTAATACAGCATAAAATCCTACTGTCCTTGTCAATCCATCAGTCTGTCTCTTTCTTTGTATCACCCACACTCCATCTCCATTTCTCTCTCTATGTCTCTCTCTCATTCTCTCTTTTGTCCTCTTATCTGATTGAGTGAATAATTCATGTCTATTCTTCAAGAAGGCTCTTTGTTCTCCCTCCTGGTGTGTTCTTTTAAAGCATTTGGGAAAGTGTATGTGTGCAGCATTTGTGTGGTTGAACAAAGCTAAACTCTGAGTTTTCCCTTTTATTCACATACATGCATGCTCACACACACAAACACAGAAAACAAACCAAGTCATATTTCCGAAAACATTTTTTTTTTGTCAAACAAGAAAGAAATATCAAATGTGAATTCTATATGCTGGTAAATGTGTGGGTGTGCCTTAGTGATGTGCTTGCCGGTGTTGTTCTCTTGCAAATATGGGTATGCACTGCGAGCGTGAAAGCACATAAAAGTGTGAATTTTACTATTATGTCTTCTATAAAGCATGCCTAAGTGAGTGTGTTGTGTATCTGAGTAAACGAGTATTTCTCTCCAAATGGGAGAAACCATCTTAAAATATGGTTTTTATCAGTATTCACCTCAGCATTAGAAAACAATGCCGTTTGGTTATGGAAATGCATTGCAGAACCTGAGAGATCGTTTTAGTTCATCCCTATCTAAACCCTCTGTCCTGCATACTGATGTATGTACTTAAACACACTCAGAGACACTTTTACATTTAAATCATCAGCTGAACTGAGGACAAGAGCCTCACTGCAGTAAATGAATGCATTAAAATTCCTATAACAGTGTTTTTACCTTACAGTGTATGCATGTGTTAGATGTTTAACTTTACAATAACAGCTCATAACCAGTAGTCCGTGGTTGTTGTACTGTCCAAAAAAGGCATTATATAAAAATATTATGCCATTAAACAGCTACATCTAGTTATTCCCTCATTCCACTTGTAGTTGATATAGAAAACCTTTGATTCAGTTTATTAGCATATTTTAAAATGGCAGCATCCAAGTCAGAAACAAGTAAACATGTGCTAAAGTTAACCACAATTTGAAATTATTTAAACCTTTCAATCACATTTTATAAAAGCAATGCAACATAGTGTTAAGACTCCTTTCAGCTACCATGTTAGAAATATGAGGTGTAATCAAAACTCAAAAATCAAACACCTGACCTAATTTAAAACTGGCCATTCTCACATTCAAGATGATCTTGTTGTGCATGTCTAGACAGATCCCATTGAGGCTACTATTTATAGATTGCCCTGGGTGCTTTGCAATGCCACTGTGGACCTCAAACTTGTGCGGTGAACAAACATCAACTTCTGTTTCAAACTGGCCTGAATTTTATTTGAAGTAATCATCACTGCCAATGGACGCTGGATTTCCAGCTACCAGCAAGCACTTTTCAGTCCAACAGTTTCCAAGCCCCAAGGCATTTTTTATCAGGTGCTGAGCAAAGCACGGACTATAATTGTTTTCTTTAACATTCCAGGGGTTCTGAACCCTCAATTTGTCCCCCGGGCTGGACTGTCATTTCAAAATTCTCCTAAATGTCCTGAGGCATCTGAGAAAGAACACTTGATGGAAACACCCTTCGGTGTGTGCCAGCTTGTGCCAGCACAGAGTGTGTTGACAACACAATCTTAGCTCACCACCTTTTCCACTCTCCAGATTTGCTCCCAGCAACTTGGTCCACTTTGCAGAAATAAAAATTAAGTTCAAGGATGATCATTTTGACACACTGGAAAGGATTTAGCACACATACACTGATATTATTTAGAACCATTCCCAAAACTTTATGGTCGTACGTTACAGTTGCCTATGCATTTATATCAGGTAAATTAAAGCGCATGTCAGTAAAAATGTAAGTATTTTTCAGTTATAACTATACCAATACAAATTTACTGGTTTAAACATTCAGCAGATGGCCGCCCCTCCCTGAGCCCGGTTCTGCTCGAAGATTCTTCCTGTTAAAAGGGAGCTTTTCCTTCCCACTGTCACCAAAGTGCTTGCTCATAAGGGGTCATATGATCGTTGGGGTTTTCTCTGGTTTTTTTGTATTATTGTAGGGTCTCTACCTTATAATATAAAGCGCCTTGAAACAATTATCATTGTGATTTGGTGCTATATAAATAAAACTGAATTGAATTGAACTAAGAGGAGACACAAATACCTGTTGGGTTGGGTCAGGAAGGGCATCCAGTGTAAACATCTACTAAATTTAAAGAAAAAAAACAAAAGAACACCACATGGAGCTACCCAGTCTGGTGAACCATTGTGAATAAAGGAACAGCTGAAAGCTTTCGGTACATGCCTGGGCCAGCTCTTGCATTACAAATTTCCTCTAGGGCATACAAATTCCTTTTGCAACCCAAAACTTATCAAGTTTTGGGTTGCAGGTAGGTTGGAGCCTGTCCCAACGTTTTTTTTTTTTCAGGGCTAATACACAGACAGACTCTTCCGCCTACCATAGGGCGAGCAGTGGTTCTCTGGAAGCTATTTGCGCTACTCTTGAACTAATCATTGTAATTCTGTGTAAACGTTGTGGTTATAACAGAATATATGGCAGTTAATTTAGTATAAGTAATTCTTCTCAATCCTACAGATTCTAACTTGAGTGTTGCATTGTTGCTTGATTGAAAGGCACATTATCAACGTTGGCTTTGGGTTATTCTTAGCATTGTGTCACTCGGGTTCTCTTTCTTTGATCAGTTTTGTCTTAACCTTTAAAATGTATTTAATTATAATATAATTTATTCCTTCAAACAGGGTCTAAGGCTCTTTTTGATATTGTGCTTTGCTGAATGTGTAGTCCTGTGAGAGAATATGTCTCCTGGGGTTTATACTTCAGGGTCTAAGTTTGGGCAGCTTCAAAGTGATACAGCCCTGCTTTTGGTTATCGCAGTCATACACTTGTTTTTATTGCTAATTAATCACACATTTCTTGGTGATATCTACTCATCCAACATTGCTTGTTGCTATTTTCACACACATTTATCATCATTGGGTTTGTCAGTTTTTCCTCCAACACAAAGGCAGAAGTGAGGATCCAAAGTTGTGAGAGAAGAGTACATCAAAGACAGAAACACGTCAGGCACATTGGATGAAAATCAAGTAACATTAAATATAGAAACAAATTTTCCTTTGATACTGCCACAGCGAACAGAGATGTCAAGGTCCAAATCGCAGGCTTTAGCAAGAGGAATAGAGGAAAACATCAGCTCTGGATGCCCTTCGGCTTATATAAACCAACTGAAATTTATTTTTTTGTCATCTATACAATAGTCCACAAGTGCGGTAGATGTGTATCCCCTCAAACAGTAAGTAAACAGTCTACTAATTAATGAATGCGGTTGTGAAGTGTTTATGTGTGAATGCCAGCGTGACTGGTTGTCTGTCTGTATGCATCAACCCTGCGAAAGAGTGGCGACCTGTTCAGGGTGTACC